ACCGAAAACACAGTTGAAAACACGTAAGAAAACATCAGCACAGCACAGGGGCGACCGGTCGCTGATACCTTGCGACCGGTCGCTAAGACCATTTGGATACATAGCGACCGGTCGCTGATACCTTGCGACCGGTCGCTTCCTGCGAATTTTTCAGACTTCGACTCTGCTTCTAAACGACCGGTCGCCCAAACCTTGCGACCGGTCGCTCACTCCTTCGCATGCATACTAAATGTGAGCCAATTTTACAACACATTTCGTATGCAAGTCGTGGTACAGAGCAAGCCTCAATCCTTCATGCTGGGAACGTCTCATTTTTTCAGACATTAAAAGTAGCTATTTGGAATTGGAGTAGGTGCTAAATGAACCCTAAAATTAACTGAGTACACCCTACTATCAAACTATTTATTGAATTACTAATTTATCTTAATATAAAATTACCAAAAAGGATATTTTGAATTATGAAATAAATGTATGTGAAGAATTCAATGTCTTGGAATACGATGATTGATGGGTATATGAAAAATGGCAAGGTTGACGATGCGGTCAAGCTGTTTGAACAAATGCCACAGAGAGATGCGGTTTCTTGGATTGTTTTGATTGGTGGGTTTGTCAAGAAAGGTCAGTTCGAGCAAGCATTGGAGTGGTTTCGAGAGATGCAGCTCTCGGGTGTGGAACCAGACTATGTAACCTTAATTGTTGTAATTGCTGCTTGTGCGGATTTGGGAACGCTTTGGATTAGGCTTGTGGATAAATCGGTTTATTATGAAGCAAGATTTTAGAGACAATATTAGGATAAGTAACTCGTTGATCGATATGTATTCTCGATGTGGTTGTATTGGTTTTGGCGAATAATAAATCAAAGAGAAAACAAGGGGCTTTCTGCTGCCTTTGAATCAAAGCTTCTCAACCATGAAATCCGAATAATTTAGTATGCCACTTGACCTTGATGAATGCTGTTACCAGATTCAAATGGGTTTGCTTCTGTGTGATAGAGTGGATTAGGGTGTATCTGGGGTATTTTTGGTAATTAAATAGGGTGTACTTAGTTAATTTTACATTTTGATTTAAATATTAGGGTGTACTTAGATCATAGAGTGTACTCAGTTAATTTTAGGGTTCGTTTAGCAGCACTCTTATTTTATAGCTGAAAATTGGGTTGATTACCCCTTGCTACAAAGATTTGTCCACCAATATCAAATTGATGAGAGTCATTTCTCGACCACTGCGTTTATTAAGTTCGTCATCAATCGTAGCAAAGGACATGCTACTGCTCTCAGGCTACCTCCATATGCTTCAGAAACAGACTTGAAATATGTTTCAGATGTGTAAGTTTCTCCTGCAGTATTTCAGCATTTATGTTAATTTTCTTTTTGAATGTTGTATTGGGTTTTAATTTGCTCCCCCCACATATAATTGGGTCATCGTAAAATGTTTGTTTTTGCAGGTGTGGTGACCTCAAGGATGTTGGATTGCCTGAGCATTTCGTTTGCGACAAATCAGGTGTAATAACAGAGCTGATTGGTAAGTGGAAACGTTTGGAGTGGTTGACGTTGGGAAGCAGCTATGCTTTGGTGAAAATCCTCTCACAGATTAGCATTCACTGCAAAGACTTTTGGGGCTTACGTGTGTCTAATGCTGATATTGTTAAAGATAAGGCTATTGCAATTGTCAACTTCCTGCCTAAGATTAAGCATTTGATCTTGAGGGATGCACATATTCATCGGGATGCTCTTATGAAGTTACTGCAAGGTTGCACGGAGCTTCAGGTTCTGGATGTCAGTGATTGTATTGGTTTTAGTGAGGATGATGGGGAAATTTTAAAGCTTGCTTCTCATATTACTAATTTCAGCTGCAAGGGCTCTAGCGAGTATGATGATGATTTCTATGAGGAAGGCCCGATTTTCGCACATGATTATGGATTTTATTATTCTGATTAGGCGTTCGGGACTGAATTTTCTTTGGAGAGTTTACTGTTGTTTACCTTGTGTTAGCCATGAGGCACCCCAATAGGAATATGAAAGAAGCCCTATGCATTACTAGTACATATTATCTTCCTGTGAAGTATAATAAGTCCCTTTGTCTGCAAGTCATGATTGAATTTTTTTATATAATTTTGTCTTTAATTTTGTCTTTGTAATACCTAGCAAAACAATCGCCGAGTTCTTCTGTTAAACCAAAGCATGTCCTGATAGTGAGTTCCTATGTACAATGACTCCTCCACAAAAGAGACTGGACTTAATTCCAACTCTTTTAAACACATTCATTCAACACTCCATGACTAACTCCTCCAATGACCCATCTTTCTTCATCCTCCTCTGTCTACCAGAAATGCCCATACGTAGAAACGAAGTTATATCACGTCCAAGTCACATTTTTTGTTTGCGTAGTTCGACTCATTTTTCACTTTAGTTCTTGTTAAGTCCGAAAGTCTCAACATTGTTAAGAAAAATAAATTAAATATTCACGTTATTAATTGATTTGACTACAAACATTTTAATTAGACACAATAAAAATCTCACGCGTCATGATTTCATCTTGTCACGTTGGATTTTAATTCGATTATTTCGACCCCAGGTTTTTGAGTTTCTTTGTTATGCTGTCAAGTTTAGATAAATTCTCCACCTAGTTGGCTTGTGGTTAGGTGGTATCTTTCTTGGCTTTGTTCTTGTCTGTTGTTTGCCCAAGGTGTTTTTCCCCTGTTCTTGAATGAAGATGCATTTCGTCCGGGAAAAAAAATAAAAATTGTTGCAGGTGTGTAAGTTTTCTCAATAAAAAAAAAATCAATATGGTCCTATATCTATAGATGGAGAGAACTAGACTCCTTGGTTAAGCTTTATTTTATGTTGTTTTAACATCTAAAAGTACAAAAGTTAATTTGTTATGAGTTCTGTGCATTAAACTTGTAGTTCGACCTTTTCTTTAAACTATTTATTATTGTTGTTCTTATCCAGGGTTTCTAGTTTTTAAGTATTGTATTTAGGTTTTAATGGTGTTTATGTCTGAGTGAGTTTCAGCTGTGTTTTAACCTCTTCGATACAAGTCTGCCCTCTTATTCTTCTGTGTCATCACCTTCTTCTCTAAATCTCTCTAGATTTATATGTTCTCTGTACTGTTGCTACATCAATTTTTACTATGTAAAAGCAACAGTTTGTACTCACCCCAAAAATGAGTCATTGTAACTTTTGTTTGCAGGTGTCCTGGACTGAAGGGTTTGTCTTGGCACCGCTGTTTACTGATGTTTTAATTTTGCATTATCCTAGAGCTGATTGGAAAGTGTAAACAATTGGAGCTGTTGTCATTTGAATAGGAAAATCAAACCGTACACCGGCCTGTAAGTTGCTATAATGGAAATGAGGATATCTCCCCGGGAGATGAAAGCTTAAACGGCCCTTATGTACCTCAGATTGTTCAGAGAATCAAGGTCCAATGAATACAACTCCTCAACCTGCAAGGCCACACCAAGGGCATCATGGCGTACGTGAAAGAAGTGAACTATAATCCAAGTCACAACATAACACTTGGACTCTGACTACCATGAAAATTAAGTAAACAATTTCTTTGAAAAGTAAAACTTCAACATAGCTTAGTGAAGAAAAAGGGGTTAAGTATTGGATATAGTTTACATTTTTTAGTTAAAGATAAAGGATGAAGTGTTGGATATAATCAATACCACAACAAAAGGAGCGAAGACATTTCCAAGAAGCACTTGCAGCCTAAGCTCAAGCAGTAACAGTAGAAATCAACCCATAAACTAAGATCAGTGCAGGGTAAGCATAAAAATAAAATACAAAAGGAAACAAAGAAGGCTTACCTGCACGCCTTTTACTTGCATCTGCGGAATAACTTCTGTAAACACCCCTGAAATGCAAAGTAGAAGAACCTTCAGAATACTAGTGCAGTCCATTTATACTGTAGCTGTTTCTATTTTTCGAAAATAATTAATGTGTCATAAATTTTCCAAATCCTATACACAATCACTCTGCATCATCAAATCATAACTTCCATCATCCATCCAATCCCAAATGTATTTTTTTTAAACAAAAATTATGGTCATCAAGCAAGTGTTGTCAACAATTTAGGCTTCCACTCATACATGTAAAGATACAAGAGAAAAGCTTGTTTAGAAGTCAAATTGGAATTTCTCCAAGTTTCTTTGAACTCAATAAAGCATGTCAGGTCTGCCAGTGCAATTTCTATATCGAAACAATGAGTGAATACAGCTCCATGTCAAGATTTACGCTCAACAGAGGGACCGGTGAGCTGATATCAAGATATGAAAGGGCATTTGATGTAGGAGCAACATCAGGAAGTATAACAGAACTTTTTGGTTGTATTGTACTATTGTATAATGCTGCAATTGACTAAGCACAAGAATCCCCAATTCAAACAAAGAGGGTTTTATTCCTCCATCTTGGTTCAAAACGGGGAGGTTAGCAACTTCCCTGAGTAAGAACCAGCGGGAAACGAGGAAGAAGAGAAACTCACCAGAAATTATAACCCACCGCTGTTTTTGGAGTGGAAAAACACTTGTGTGCAACGGGGTATCAATCACACTACATATCTGAGAATGAAAAGAATGAAAAGAATGATTACTTTGAATCTAAATTAGAGTTTGGGATTTGATTGCATTTGTTGAATTTCGTTGTATGTCTTTGGTATTCATTTTGTTATGTGTTATATTTTAGTATATCTCAAACTATATATCTGAATTTACATTTCTTGTAGACGGATCAATTTCAACGAAGATGGGAATGTTGTGCGGAAGCGTCAACCAAGTGCGAGTGAAAATAAACACAACTAGCAGGAGATAAAAATAAGGGAGTTTCACTAAAATACCCAAAATGGGGGCTGAAATTATAAAAATACCCAACACCCAAAACACTTTATAAACATACCCAAAACTCATCATTACACACACTCAAAACCCATTTATAAACATACCCAAAACCCATCATTACACACATACCCAAAACCCATTTTGGGTATGTTTCTATGTTTAAATAGTGCTTGGGTATTTTTATAAATACATGTCTAGGATTGGGTATTTTTATAAATATCTATAAAAATAATGAACACAAAACAACACCAACAAGAACACCAAGATTTATACTGGTTTGGCAATGCCTACATCCAGTTTGGAGACGACGGAGTATTCCACTATAATCAATGAGAGAATACAATAGTGTTTAACACTCAGAAACCCAAGCCCCAAATATACCCAAGCTCACACACTCAAGAATATAAAGAGAATACAAATTGAGTACAATTTAGAGAAAGGGAAAAATAACCAACGACAGCAACAATTTGTTTTGCTGCCCAACTCTTATTTTTCCTCTCTCAATTTTCTCTCTGCAAACTTCTGTCTCTCATGCTCTGGGCTGCTGCTGCTTCTCCTTTTAAAGCCAAAGGAAGTGGCTTCTCAAAGAAGCCAACGGCCAAAGGCCTCCCATCAAGTCAAAAGTTAGCAATAAATGCTAGCCTTTTGTCTCCCACATGCAGCTTCCCATTCCACTTTGTCTGCCAATGCCAAATAATATATTCTACTTTTGGCCGAAAGCAACTTTGCTTTTGAGACAATAGTCAACAATCTCCACCTTGGCTCAAACTATCAAAGTAGAACTCCCAATAGTCGTCTCCCAATCCCCCATGGGGCAATCAACAAAATTTACAAATGCCAATCAAGTCTAAGCAGTGCTTAAACTTGAGCAACGAAACTAGCTTTGTCAACATATCTGCAGGATTGTTGGTGGTTCCAATCTTCTCAAGAAGAATATCTCCCTCTTCAATAATCTCACGAACAAAATGGAACCTCACGTCAATGTGTTTCGTACGTGCATGATG